GGCAAGGATACCAATTGCTTTAGCAACAGGAGTGGTAGGAGTCTTTAAGTATCATTTTACTCTCGCCAAAGCACAGAGATAAAAGTTAGGTCTGGAAACCAAGTGTTCATGGCCTCGCCTTGGAGGTGAGATTTAATAAATTACCTGTTTCAGGGTTGGAAATGATTCAGGTCTGGTTCCAGGGAGGGTATGGGGAACCATGGGCAGGATGTGTTATGTGGAATGGCAAGGAGGATGAGGAGTCACATCATGGCTATGCCTGTAGTAGCTTCAGTTTGAGGGGGTTCACAGGGTCAGGTTTTGCAGTCTAATTCCGGCAGTGTCTGGGGTCTTCTGGTGGTGGTCTCAGGGGCTCAGTCATTTCTTGGTTGGCTGCACTGGCATATGAGTAATGGTTCCAGGAGGTGATTTGGTTGAACTTGATGGCAGTGGGGGTAGTCAGGATCACATAGGGTCCCTTCCAGTGGGGCTCTAGGGTCTTGTGTTGATGTCTAGTGGCATAGACCCAATCTCCTGGCTAGAACTTGTGTGGAATGGGTAGAGGAGCCTTTCATGCACCTTCTACAATCTCAGGCAGATATCTTTGAATACTGAGGCTGCCACATTTAGGGATGCAAGCATGTTAACATCATCAAACTCAATGAGCAGTTCTGACATCAGGTTGGGGACGGAGAGCCACCCAATCTCTACCAGTCTCCATGGTTAATTTGGTAAGGGCCTACTTTAGGATCCTGTTCATACATTCTACCTGTCCAGAACTCTGGGGCCTGTAATCACAATGTAATTTTCGATCTTCCCTCAAAACCTTAGCTAAATTTTGAGTTACCCAAGCAGCAAAAGCAGGTCCATTGTTGGAGCCTAACTGAACAGGGGTTCCATACCATGGAGAGATGTGTTCCACTAATCTTGACCACCACCTGGGCAATTTAATGCTTGGTAGGAAAGGCTTCTACCCATCCTGAAAAGGTATCTATGAAAACTAACAGATATTTTTAGCCAATTTTCCCAGCTTTAATCAGTCTCCTAGTGAGACCCAGGCTGGTGTCCTCTCAGCGTGCACCGGGCTGCCCTTCAGTGAGTCTGGATCAGGTGCAGGGTGACTGGGTTTAGGGTCTCAGTTGCCAACACCTGAAGAGGTGGCTTCTTGCATACCTCTTTCTTTGGACAATTTTTGTCCAGTGACCTATCTCTTTACAGTACGTACATCGGTCTTTTGTAGAGGGGACCTGTCTGCCTAAGGGAAGATTTACCTCAGTTCTCAGAGGCCACAGTTATTTCTGCCTCTCCTCTGGATGCCAGGACTAGGCAGGTCACGTTGGACACCCACCTGTGCTCCGCAGCTTCCATAGCTTGTCTCTGCTTCTCATTTTCTGACACCTGTATCCTGTCTCCTCATGCATTTTCCTCAGTCCTTAATCTAACCTCTCTCTTCTGCAGTCTCCCTGTTGTTATATGCCTTAGCTGCCACTTCTAGAAGTTTTCAACTAAACCATCTATTTTTGTAGTCTCTTTCTAAAGTCTGGGGCAGCCTGATTTACAAATGCTAGAGTCACAGATGCCTCCATATCCATTGGAGTGTAGGCTCTGAATGCCTCCATCAGCTGCTATAAAAAGCCTCTTGGGGATCTCAGTTGGTTCCTGTATTATGCTAGTAACTTTAGCCAAATTGTTGGGTCCCTTGGCAGCAGTCCTAAGGCCTTCCATTAGAGTCTGGCAATAGATTTTGAAGTTTTCCCTACTTGCCAGGGTGTTGAATCTACACGGGGTCTGGTCAATAAGAAGCCCAGGTCAGCTGAGAGCTTGGTTAGTGGTGGGACGACCATCAGATCCTGACACCCACTTCCTGGCTTCTACCACAATTTGATCTTTCTCCTCCATTATGAATAAAATCTGCAACAACTGCACAGTCATCCCAGGTAGCCTGGTGGGTGAAAGGGACGATCTCTGAAAGATTAATGAGTCTTTTTGGGTTGTCTGAGAAGCAGGGATTTGGTTTTTACAATTATATGAATCGGCCATGGTAAACGGCTAATAATGGTAAATCCCATTTCCCTGTTCATTCCGAGTACCTACTGCCCAGAGGTCAAGTCAGTGCAGTCTGATTCATGCAGTGGAGGTTGAGAAGAGCCTGCCCACGAGTATGGGGAGGGTGGGTACAGGTCTGGCCATCTCTGCAGCTTCTTCCTGAGGAGCTGAAGTGCCTGCTGAGGGTTCAGGAGCAGGGTGTTGGAGGTAATGAATAGGGCAGGGATGAGAGGAGTAGCTGTTCCTCCAACACCCCTTGGAGGACCTTTGGGGAGTTGGCCCTGAGGAGAAGGTTTTCGTGGGTTCCCCCTCCTCTTTCAGAGTAAAGACCTGTGACACTTTTGGAGGTGGATTTGGAACTAAAGGCTTGAGTCAGGGTGGGGGAAACAAAATTAGATCTTCCCATACAGAAATGTAAGAGATTTTATCAGAATGACTGCATCTCTCAGGAATGGCATCCTTGGTTTTTTTTCGTGTAACAGACAGATCAAAAGTGTCCTCTGGTGGCCAATTAGTGTAAAAGGCGGGCCATTCTGATTCACACAAGCTCTTAGTTTCTTGACTTTAGGCTGTCTAGCCCAGCCCAATGTACAGAGTCTCTGAAATCCTTAAAGTTGTTAAGAAACAGACATAGTGGGATGAGGTGACTAGAGACCTGGCCCATGATCTTAGGATGCTCAAACCACCAAAACAGGGAAGCAAACATGGCAAAAAGACACACACACACACACACACACACGCAAAATAACAAACAAGACAGACTGCTGTGCACAGATCTGAAAATGAAACACAAGACTAACAGTACTGTGCAGTCATGATCTGCCAGTCTCTGCAGAGAAACTATGTGTATTCAATCCTCCTGCCCCCACCCCCACATCTCCCAGCTCTTCCTATGGGTCTACCAACCATACCCTTCCCCAAAGTCCCGGAACATCTCCCGGGACTCCAGCCCTAGATGCTGCCGCATGTCTGCCACTTCTTAAACAGTCTACAGATTACAGTTGGAGCTCCAACCAGAGAAACACAGAGATACACAGATAAGATGCTTGGGCAAGTTACCCGATATTAGGCACAGGGAGACTCCACGGTGGGGTTGTCGTGGTGGCTTGGGAGATCTCAGTGGAGCCTCCACATGTCATACCCAGAGTGTCCCTAAGGACCATTAAAATACCAAATCTGATGCAAAAACAGAATCTTTTAATAATAATGATGTTGAACTCATGTCTTTCATGCATCTGACACAGCAGGGAAGAACAGAGAGACCATGAGTAGCAGTGGAGTAGGGTATATATTGGGGTTGAAGCAAGGGAAGTTGAGGTGTTGTAAACTGCACAGGAACAGGCCCAGAAATGGTGCACCTCCAAACTGAAGCAACCTGTCCTTGTCTAATTGGTTAGTTGCAACTGCAGGGAGGTTTCTATCACTTTGGTGGTTGCTATGGTTTCTTCATTCTATCTTTATCAGAGAAGCATTCTCAGATCTTGTTAGCTCAGCTCCTAATTGGTTCCTGACCATACAGGAGATCTCTCTGAGTCTTTTTTAGCACCAAGAGCAAAGACAGGGCACTGCACAAGGTCAGGTACACCGCACATCCTTCTACATCTTGCTGACTCAGGGGCCTATATTCTGCTGGATCTTTCCTGCCAGCTTTCCTGGTGGAGCTCTGGACAAAGTATCTGGATTTTCTGGACTCTTCAATGAGAAGGTGATCATCTATCAGTCCTATAGTTCCGGGGTTTATGTCCCTGACATTCTGGAGAGGACAGATACCAGCTTTGGTCAGAGTCCACAGTCTATATGGCCTAAGAAACAAATGTGTAACACTGACATTTTTACTTTTATTCTGTGTGTGTTTATGATGTCCATGTGTGAGTGCAGGAGCATTGTGAGCATGTGCCTGTTGACATCAGAGGGTAACTTTCAGGATTGTTGCTTTTTTTCAACCTTTCCTTTGGCTCTGCTGAGCAAACATGAGTTATTGGTGGCCTGTGAAGCAAGTGCATCTCCTGTTGACCCATCTCACAGACTCAGGATGTGACATAGGTTAACATGAAGAAAAATACTTTTTCTGACTGCAAAGTGGAATCTAGGCTACAGGCGCACTGGTAGCAATAAACAATCTCCCCAAGATCACAGGGGATTGTCCACAGAATGCACTGTCCCTTCATTCATAAATTCTTCAGTTGCAAATTCTTCCAAAGTCCATAAGGCAATGAAATCATTATTAAGAATATGAAATAACAGGCATCATTTCAGGACCTGGTTCCAACTACATCCTAAGTCAGATGGACTCTATGAGTTTACACTTCAAATACTAATTACCCTTAGCTTCGTTGTTTGATTCTCTTAAACCAAGGGATCTAGCTGGGTACTTCCCTCTTAGCCCAGATCAATCCTGGCTTGTGCATCCACACATAATCTACCATCCTGTGCAATAGAATCTTGTGGGTCACACAGCCACACTATGAACATGAAAAATATCAAGGAAGGAAGGATGTGAATTATTCAACCTACCTTGGTGGCTTCATGAAAAAGAAACACTGCCCCATGGCAGCACAGTGGCCATGAAGCCACTTATTTTCTCATTTTTTAAATATTCCAGGATTTTCTGCCTTGAACAATAGCCTTGTGGGGAGCATTGAACAAAATCAACTGGAAATATATGTGCTTGATTCATTGAGATGGAGAGAGTTCTTTATATTACCTGCCACAGTACCCAATCATAGAGACTGCCTCTGCCCAGAAGATTCCATGAGGGCACTCAGTTGCAGAGAGGGAGCATAGGAAGGAATGACATAGCAACATGAAAGCCACAATTCTACCTTACTTACTGCATGACTGCAAGCAGCTGTCTTTAGCTCTGAGTTTCTAAATGATGAGATGCCCTAGTCCAGGCAAACACTATGAGCTGTCCCACCAGAACATTCTCCCATTCATCCATGCTGGGTGTTCTTCCCAGCTCACACTGAACTCACCACTTCATGGCCTCAAGTTCCGCAAATCTGGGTCTTAGTGTTGACACAAGGTCATCACCATCCATACTGCCAGTCATCATCCTGGGCGGCCTTTGGGTTGGAGTATCTTGGCTGACATTAGGTATTTTCTTTGGAGTCTCCTTAGAATATCCTGAAATGAGAACTTGCTTCTTATCCTGTGACCACTATATAAGGGCTACTGTGACCCCAGCCTCCAAGGAGACCATGCACAGAAACAAGGATTTCATGTGCATCTTTCTCCAAACCAGTAAATAGCCCTCACAATGTGAACCCACACACAAGGGTCCTCAGAAGATTTAGGGGCAAGAAGCAGACAAAAGGCATTGTTGTGGTTAGGGCTCTTTAGACTCTAGCAATTTTGAAGACATAGATAATGTCATGTCACATTAAAATAAGGTTATGTGGGTTTTGTTGACTGCTCATATGTTATTCTTCAAATGACTCGGCTCAGTGTATGGAGAAGGGTTCTTCCTGGAGTCTATGCTCAACAGTGACAAAAGCCGTAGCTATTTCACTCAGGATGGTGTGGCCTGAGCTTGGTGGAGCCAAGTAGTAGGAGCCTTGACCTGGTCTCTGGGGAGGGCTGAAGTTGGCTTCATGGAAGGTGTGACATGTCACAGAAGCAAGACAACAAATGTAGTTGGCAAAGCAAGGAGGAAATATTTTTCATTCAGAGATGGTAGCAAGCACAAAGGGCCTGAGCATATTGAACATGGTCTGGGGTCAGCCCATCTTTCCCAACCCTGCCCCTCCACTCCCTGACTGTGTCTCTAAAGTTTCTCTCCCTTCCTGATTAAGTCTGTTCATCTCCAGTACAAGTCAATGTCTTTCCTCAGTCATAATTGTGTATAGTTATGTCTATTATATTTTAAATAAATTATACAAAGTAGTGGGTTTGCTGTGGCATTTTCCTATATTTTAGACCTATTCCTCTATCCTCCCCTGCTGTTGTTCCTCATCTCCACCACATCTAATGGCTTCCTCCTTCAATTTACTTCCATGTCACATGCATTATTTGCTCTTATTTCCCGCTATTCTCTTTCCTTATGATTCTTCTTCCCCTCTCATAGTCTCCTTATATTATGAATTCACTAACATTCAATGCATCAAAGTGTGTGTGTGTGTGTGTGTGTGCATGTGCGCACGCACGCATGCGAGCATTGTACAAAACAGAAACTGGGGTATTTTGCCTTTCTGAATCTAGCTTATTTTGCTAAGCAATGACTTCAAGTTCATTCACTTCCAGAAACGTCATGACTTCATTTTTCTTTATGACTGAATAAAATCCCTTTGTGCACTTGGCCTCACTATCTTTAACCACTCTTGAGGGTGTGGGCATCTTTTTTGTGTCGATTTCTTACCTATTGTGAACAGAAGCACATCTGTCTTTTAGGAAGGTCAAATGTGAGAGTGACAGGCATTCACTGTGGCGTCCTTCTTTCCTATTCTTCCTATAACCACTCAGGCATCATCAGCAAAGATGTTCCAACTTGGCAGACTTGTTTTCTTGTCTGGCCTGCTCACTAGGACCTCAGCATCAACTTTGAGTAATAATGATACTAAACTTAATAATTTGGATATGCTGAATTCTGTCTCTGAAGTCAGTTAGTAAAGCCCAGTTAACTCTGCCCAGTATTAACCCTAATTTCCACTATACCTGAAATAGCAGAGGCTGCTGGGAGGGTCCATTGTTGATCTTTATGGGTGGTTTGCTGAGAAGTGTGCAGTTATTCCATCCCTGTCTCTCACTTACATTTTTAGAAATAAACAGTGTATTGACATTATATTCCTAAAAGAGAGTTGCCAATATATCACAGGATAAATTCTTCAATGGGAGATTTCAGAATTGTAAAAGTTTGCATTTTAAATATTTTAGTTGTTGGCTGCTATTCCCTATGCCCTTTCCCTAGAAGTGTGAGGGAGCCTGTCTCCCACACTGCTCTCCTGCTCTAACCTGAACACCTTTAACTGGTTTGCTGTTATCAGAGAGGAGAGGATTTGACTCATTTCAAATAGTATTTCTCTAACCATCCCCTCGTTTTTCAAGTCTTTACTGCTGGTTTACATGATTTCACTAATATTTCAAAATTATTAGCATATTTTCTGTAGTTTGTTTACTTTTCTTATTGATCTGTGTTGACTTGCTGTAAATAAAGGACATCAACCCACCTGGCTTAGATGTTCATAAACTAATATCTTTCTGTTAACTGTACCTTTGTTCTCTGCTATAGAAGAACTGGGATAACTGACAAGTAGTTCCTATAGGAACAGGAAATCTGGTTACAAACCTTGTAAATGTTTAGGCAGCATTCAAAGATGAAGAAAGTAACCATCTTCTCTTTCCACAGCAGGAGAACCAATGCAGAAAGAAAAGGGTACCAGGTTCAAAGTCACTAGGGAGTTGTATGTCAAGATGGTGCTATGTAATCAATGCTAGCTAAGGTGGCATTGTCTGCATCATTATAGTAGATAGATCCTGTTAGCACAGAGCCAAGACACAGTAGCAAAATTACATCTGTTTTATTAAAACTGTTTAAGATTTTATTTTAACCATGTGTATGTATCTCTGTGTGTATATCTGTATGTGTTCCTCCAGAAGCCAGAGGAAGGTGTCAAATGCCCTGAGGATGGTTCCACTACACATAAATGGGAACCTATTCCCATGAAAGGCATGAAAGCTATAAAGCAAATGATAATGTTTTTTGGAGTCCACAGCCCTTATATAAAACAGTTACTAAACACATGGGCTACTACTAATGAGATAACTCCCTCAGATTGGCATGATTTAATAACTGCAGTGCTGGACCAGTCTTCCCAAATACAGTGGAAAGCTTTATGGAGACAGGGAACCAAGGCGCTTGAACTTCAAGGTTTGAAGGATGGCTTTGAAGCTTCCCGAAAGTAAGATTATTGGGGAGAAGCAATTTTCTGACCCGCAAGTCCAAGCTGATTATGATGAGCACACATTGGATTTATACAAAACAGCAGCACTAAATGCTTTGGATAAGGTTCATGAACCAGGGGAAAAAGTTTAATCATATTCCAAAGTGATACAGGGTCCGAGAGAAAGATTCTCTGTGTTCTTACAAAGATTATCCAGGGCAGTAGATTTACAGATAACTGATCCTAATATTAGGCAACTTCTTACAGAAGTTTTGGCTTATGAAAATGCAAACCCACAATACAAACTGATACTGTGGCCAATAAAGATCAGATCAGCACCATTGGAGGAGTGAGTCTTATATACAACTAATGTTGAGTATGACAATCCAGAGGGAGGAACCTGGATAGGAGAACCCATTTCTAAAGGATTTAAGAGGAATCAGGATGAAAAATGTCCTATCCAAGAGGAGATAGCGAATTGGGTTGGGGAAGCAATCTTCAGAAGTTTCAACAGACATCGAAACCTTAGATGTTTTAATTTGGTAAAATAGGACATTTGAGTAGACAAAGCATTCTCAGAAATAATGCTTCTACCAGAAGTACTTCACACAGAAGGCCTCAGCCTCCTGGTCTCTGCAAGAGGTGCAGAAAAGGGAAACACTGGACCAAAGAATGTTGGTCAACCACAGACAGACAAGGTAAGCCTTTGTAGCCAGGAAACGCTCCCAGGGGGCTCCCCGTAGATGGAGTGGAGGACAGCCTCTATGAGGACAATTAGAAAATCCACAGCCTATTGTAAAGACAAATGGCACTGTGGATAACAGATTATTTATTGAGGAGGAGCTAGTTGATACTGGAGGAAACAAAAAACGTATATTCTGGCAAATTTCTGTGCAAGATCGTAGATGCAAATTAGCTGAAAAATGAATAATAAATTATTTTACAGGGTCTTAGATACTGAAGCAGATTTAAAAATAATAGCTCAGAAAAACTGGCTGGTAGTTTGGCCCTCTAAAGATGTAAATGTTCAATTTCTAGGAATCTGGACCTTATCTCATATGAAACAAAGTGTCAGATAGATAGAATGTATTGAAGCAGAAGTGCAGAGAGGAAGTTTGAGGCCATATGTCACAGGTATTGCTATGAATCTTTGGAAGCTTCAGAATTTCATAAGAAACACCATGTTAACAGCAAAGGTTTAAAGAAGGAATTTTCTATCACCTGGCAACAAGACAAAGAAATAATAAGAAATTGCCCCACTTGCTCATATTACAATCAAACTCTGTTACCAGCAGGTTGTAATCCTAAAGGTATTCACAGAAATGAACTTTTGCAAATGGATGTATTTTACTTCCCAGAATTTGGCAGTTTGAAATTTGTACACCATAGCATAGACACGTTCTCATGCTTACAATGGGCTACTGCCCTCAGCTCTGAAAAAGATGATTCTGTTATTACAGAGGTGATGGCTGTTATGGGTATACCTAAAACATTAAAAACTGACAATGCTCCAGCATATGTCTCCAGTAAATTGGAACAATTTTTCCAATATTATAATATACAACATGTAACTGGTATACCTTACAATCCCACAGGACAAGCAGTGATTGAGAGATCTAACCGAACCTTAAAAGAGATGCTTCATAAACAGCCAGGGGCAACAAAGACCTCCAAACACAGGTTACATAATGCTTTACTAACATTGAATTTTCTTAATGCTGATGAAAAAGGACAAACTGCAGCAGAAAGACACTGGACTACAGAGAAGACTTCTGAGCTGAACCAACCAGTGTATTTTAAGGATGTTATGACCTCAATCTGGAAACCAGGATATGTGTTACGTTGGGGAAGGGGTTTTGCTTTCCTTTCCACAGGAGAAGAAAACCTTTGGGTCCCATCAAAATTAATTAAGATTCGATCAGAACAGAAGATGTCTCAGGAGGAGGAAAGGTGATGGCTCATCTACAAGGTCATATTCTACCATGTACTGCTATGTGTAAGGAGACCTCATAAAAGGAAAGAGAAGTGTTCTGTTTGTGTCTTTACAGGAAAAATTAGTTCTAAACAGTGAATAAATACTAGGTTTATGGATACCTAAAGAAGACAGGATAACCACCCAGAGGACCATCAAACATGCAATAATACAACGTGGTATCAATGTCTAAATCTCTCTATTTTGTTATTATGATTTCTATGTTCTTTGCTTCTTAATATGCCTGAGACCCAATTCCTCTAATTAACGCT